TCAACTTTCATACTCAAGCGTTGTTGTGATTGTGGTACAGATTGATATAAGCCAACTTGGAAAGTTGCCAAATCCAACCGAGATGGCTCGCACCTTTAATTGTTACCTCCGGGGATAGGCGGCATGTCTTTGGGACCTTCTGCACGTCCTCCGTCAGCAACAGGTGTTGCGAAGATGTTATACTTTATTACCGGCTCATCGAGGGGTCACTAAACGTCAAAAGGAATCGCGGCAAGAAATGCTGCTGGCGCCAATTTTGGATGTTATCAAAAAATTGATGCCAGACGTGTGCTTATCATGTTCAGTGAAATGCAACCTGGTGTTGATGGAGGGATTGAACGCACAGACATTCGCATCGGCGGGCCTATATTGGCCAGCGAACGAAAATATATTGTAACGGCTCACCCGAACACGACCGATTGCCGGTCGGTACGAAGCGCGAAAAATGGTGCTAATTTAAATCTCCTCTCAGCTCCTGTTTTCGTGTCTGTTTATTCGCTTTCATTATACATGTAACACACGATGTGTTTTCTGACCTGTTGTCTTTCACTTTCATAAAGTGTGATTCTGATCCTTCTCATGAGCACGGCTTCGATTACTGGCGACTCAGCTTATATGTGCAAAAGACTTCTTCAGTGCCAACTATTCCGGTGAATATTTTAGCTTCAAGATGTACATATAGTCAACGCGAAATTTTTGTTCCTCTTTCTGTGACTCCACGAAATCCCGGAAATGGCGGCAAAGCGTGTTAGCTCCGATCACTGCGACCGAGAAGACTGATATTTCCTTTCTTTGTTCTTCTCCATACATCCTTGAACTTCATTTCAAAATGTACTTTTTGCTACCTTGCTGATTTGCGGCAAGTGATTATGTTTCCGTAGATTACCTCTAGATGAACCGTGGAATTCGTAGAAAAGAACTATCAGAGATAAGTATTATTTGAGTAAAATTTTTGAGTTATTTAGTCTTCCATTCGTTTTATTGTTGTTGTATTACTATGTTTTGTCATTCTAAGTGTATGGCGATTTTATCCTGATTGCCCAATGTTTTTTTTCTCTAGAAAAATTGTATTAACCTATATGGCTCTTGACTAACATGACTGAACGAATGAAAGACTAGTGGCATCTAGGAATTACACTCAAAGACAAGTTGTTTGATGTTAGTTTTTTCTGCTGCTGAGTTTTGCACTTGATACTAGACTATTTGCCAAGAACAGCAGGCTAAGATGTTCATTCTGAGTAATTCTTAGTAACAGATGTTGATTCACTCTCCGGCACATGCGAGTTGTTGTGCAGCCACAGGAATACCAAGGAAGGGCGTCGATTACCTAAATCTGAGTAGTTGGCAGTCTATATGCTCATTGTTCTCTGTGAATGTCAAATAGTGACTTTGTACTTCCGGTCCTTCTTTCTTCTCTTAGAATGTGAATCGTATCACTTTTGCAGATATCCTAGCGTAGAATTGTTCGCAGACGATAAATAAGCGCGGAAGGGCGAAGAGCCGGTACGGAAATCATGAGAAAAAGGAAATGGCGAGTCACGAAGTCTAGCGATAGCAGTGAATATGAGTTGAAATTAAGCCAACTTTCTATAGTCTTGTTCCAAATACGGACCACATTTGCATTTCTTGATGTGTACTAGTCCCACTGCATTTTTTGTTGTGAGTGACCACTGCTCATAAAAGTGCTATATTGATAGCAGCTGAAGCTAATATGGTACGATAAGATTATGCTCCAGCTCTCACAAGGATTAAGAACGTTTTTAATGGAACCATATAAATTAATAAATACATGTACACATATCTTTCTTTATATAATAAAGCGCAGACCCCCCC